GTGAGAATCTTTGTTTTCTTGATGTTAAGCTTCAATCCATATTGAAGGCTGCAGTCCTTGACCCTCTGCAGCAAGTGTTTTAGGTCCTCCTCAGTTTCAGCAAGCAGGGTTGTGTCATCAAATCACAGATCTGAACCCTGTCCTATCCTATGCCATCCTCATTATCTCCTATACATTTGAGCCCATTGCTGAAATCACCATATCAATCCACCTTGATGCAGGTCTTCCTCTCTTTTACTGATCTTCCATCCTTCCAAGCATGATAGCCTTTTCCAAGGAACAGCCTCAATGTGTCCAAAGTATAAGAAACCAAGTTTTGCCATCCTTGCCTCTGAGGAGAACTCTGGTTGCACCTTTTCTAACACATACCTGTTTGTTCTTTTGGCACTCCGTGTGACATTCCACACTCTTCTCTAACACACTCTGCTCCAACAGCTCAAAGGCATCAATTTTTCTTCTGTCTTCCTCATTCAATGTTCAGCTCTCAGATGCATAGCAAGTAATTGAAAAGATCATGGTCTAATCAGGCAAACTTCAACCTTCAAACTGATATCACTGCTTTTCCGTATCTTTGAGAGATTCCTGATTAGGAGACTTGCCCAAAACAACATGTCTCCTTATTTCCTGACTGCTGGTACCAAGGGCATTGATTGTGGATCCAAGTAAGACGAAGTTGTTGACAATTTCAATCTTTTCTCCATCCATCATGATGCTGACTATCAGTCCAGAGGTAAGAATCTTTGTTTTCTTGACATTGCATGCAATCCACATTGAAGGCTGTATTCCTTGATCTTCTGCAATACTGCTTTAAGTCCTCCTCACTTTCAGCAAACAAGTTGTATCATCTGCATGATACAGGTTGTTGATGGGTTTTCCTCCAATCTTGATGCCACATTCTTCTTCATAGAGTATGGTTTCATAATTTGTTCAGCATACACACTGAACAGGTATGTTATTGTTGTTGTTATTGTTATGTGCTGTCGAGTCGTTTGCGACTCATAGCGACCCTATGTAC